ATTAAGCCAACTCCTATCCATCCTATAAGGTTTCTGTTACCCCCAAATCTCACTTTTCAGCTTTCTCAGGTAGGCTCTGCCTTCCATGAATTGATATACAAGGCCTAAGTATGCATGTAGTTTAACAAAATCTACCTACAGCTGCTGGTCGACCAAAGCCTACTCAAAGTACAGCAACTGGACTTGGCGAGCCACACCAGAAGACAGCAGAGGAGAGGGTCAGTAAAGTGCATGCTGACTCTTAAATAATGTCTGTTCAGTCATGCAGTAGAATCTTTAGCATTCAATACAAATCCAACAAAAGAAAACAATATCTCAACCCTCTTGCAGCTTAATACTCTGATGAGCATTGTTCACACCTGCACCAGAAAAAGAGAGGTAATTTAAGCAAAAATAAGAAAGATATTACTGACAAAGGCCTTCAGATGTTCAAGTACCAGTTCAGAAACAAAGTAACACAGAGAACTAAGACAATTATTGTCAACCTAGAATAGTGCACTCTATAGACTATCTGCTAAAACTGAAGGAGAAATAAAATCTTTGAGTGATAAAAACAGGTTAAGGGAATTTATGACTCCTAATTCAGCTCTACAGAAGATACTGGAATAAAAACTTCAGTTTGAAGAGAAGTATAAAAACATGCAAGAAGTCACAGGGATAAATAATTCCAGGGTAGGCATGGAAACCTAGTGCAGTGGAAACTTGCTGAAATATAAAAAGGTGACCCTAATGAAGTTTCCAAATAATTAGGTGGACATAATCCCAACTGACCATCTCTTGTCATCAAATGAAGCTTCTAGTACCTAAACTAGATTACATCAATTTGAATTGTTGGCCAAAGTGGTCCCATGGAAATCCCCAAACAGCCCAGGATGTTGCCAATAATATAGATTGCTCTTCATAAACTGACAGCGAGGACCTATTGCTGAAGACAACACCCACACAACTCACTGAACATGAAGAGGTCAAACTGGTACTTACACAGAATCTTCACCCATGTATTCTAGTGTCTTAGATATGGGAAGGTATTCTGCAGGCTATCAAAAGAGAAACATAAACACCAACCCAACTACAAAATCTATGCTATAATAATGCTGTTCCACATGCAAAATATGCTAAGGCAATGGGAGTAGACAATTTATGTTTGATTTGACTTATGGAGCTCTCTATAAGATAGAACCCATCCATACCTGACACTATTGGGTGATCAAGAACCAGATACTTTACCTATGGTAAAAACAAATACTACCGCTCTTTAAAAACAGGTAGTGATAAAATGACTCTTAATGATATTCTGCTATATTCACAGACCAGTGCCTTATTCATTCATCATTAGAAAAGCTTCCTCTTGCAGCAGATGGGGACAAATACAGAGATCCACAGCCAGACATTACTTTGTAACACACAGTTCTAAATGGGAGGTCTTCATCAAATCCCTCCCCTCAGAGTTCAGGGAACCCCATGGAAGAGGAGGCAGAAAGAGTGCAAGAGCCAGAGGGGATGGAGGACACCAGGAGAACAAGGCCCTCTATCTAAATCAACTGAGCAAGGCTCATATGAACTCACAAAGAGTGAGGCAGCAAGTCCAGGGCCAGCGCAGGACTGCACTAGGTCCTCTGTGCAGATATTACAGCTTTCAGTTCAGTATTTTTATGGACTCCCGAGTGTCTGAACAAATGGGTCTTTGATTCTTGTGCCTTCTCTTGGGTTCTTTTCCTTCTGTTGGTTTGCCTTGTCCAACTTCGATGTGATGCTTTTGGTTTATTTTATTTTCTTTTGTTATGTTTGCTATTATCACTTAGAATCCCGTTCTTTTTAAATGCGAGGCAGAAAGGGAGTCGATCAGGATAAAATGGGAAGTAGGATGGAACTTGGGGTTAAAGGGAGGAGAAACTGTAGTCAGGATATATTGTATGAGAAAAAAATCTATTTTCAAAAAGAGGGAGAAAACAAAAACAATCACGCAAAACAGAGAGACAGACAAGCAGACAAAAAGAAAGATAGACCTATACTTACCAGGACCTTCATTCAGTTTTCTTAAAGCTTCCTAAGAATCTGCAACTCTTCCACAGATCCCTGGCTTTGTTAATTAGGGAATGATACTTAAATACCCTAATCTGAATATTATCTCAACACAATAAGTGTAATATACAACAAACCCACAGCAAACATGACACTAGAAGACGAAAATCATTTGCTCTAGAACCAGGAACATGATAAAGATGTCCACTCTCTCCTTTTCTATGTAATGAAGTTCTTGTAATATCAGAGTAGTAAAACAAGAGGAGATAAAGGGAAGATAACTAAGAAAAGAGGAAATCAAAGTTTCCTTGTTTATAGATATGATTCTATACATTAAGGTCTGTAAAGACTCTAACAGAAAACTCCTAGACCTGATAAACACATTTAGTAAGTAGCAGTTTATAAAATTGTCACACAGAAGTCATTAACTGATGAAGTCAGTGAAACAGTATCATTCACAATTGCATTAAAAAAAAAACCTGGCAAGTAAAAGATTCATACAATGAAAATTTTAGGTACGGAAGAACTTGAAGATGGTATCAGAAGGTGGAAGGATCTCCTAATATTCATGGATTGGTAGGATTAATACTGTGAAACGGCCATCCTACCTAAAGCAATGAATATATCCAATGCAATATCCACTTAACTTCCGATGCAATTCCTTATAGAAATGAAAAAAATCTCAAATTTAATATGAAAACAGAAAAGACCCAAGATATTCAAAGAAATTCCTAACAATTCAACATTGCCAGAGTTACCACCACCCTTGATTTCAACTATACTATAAAGCAATGGAAATAAACAAAGATACTGATAAATGGAATAGAATTCAGAACCCAGATATAAGCCCACACTTCTACATTCACTTGATTTTTGACAATTAGTTCTAAAATACACATTAGATAAAGGGCAGAATCTTCAACAAATATTGCTTGTCAAGCTGGATAGTCACATAACAGAAGAATGAGACCGGATGCTTATCTCTCACCATGCATAAAACTGAGCTCCAAATGGATTAAGGACCTAAACATAAGACCTGATACCCTGAGTCTTATAGAGGAGATATTATGAAACACACTTGAAGTTATAGGTAGGTAAAGGGCTTTCTGAATGGGACCAATTGAGTATATATTTTTTTGATGATCAAAAATTAGATATACCTAAAATATTTACATTACCTTGATTTTAAACTTTCTTATCTGATATGAGTTACAAAATGTTTCAGTAATGACGTTGTTGTTGGGATGATGATAATAAATTCTCCTAAAGTGACTACTATAACAAGTGAATTTCATTTGAATAAATTCATTATAATCTACTTACTATAATGAATGCATAATTGAGTTATGTATTTGTGTTTTTTCTTTTATTTAAAACAGATTTTATTTGCATACAATATATTCTGATTTCATGAATCTTAAAATTTACAGTATGTTAAGTAAATGAGCAGTATTATCATTTAGATATGTCTATAACTTTCTCTAGAAATTAAGATTACTAATGATTTTCGTTACTCTAATGAATTAGTTTTCTATTAGTATTTTTTATATAAGGAAATGATAGAGACTGATAAATGACATAGGGTAGGCAATATGGTGGAGACACATTTTATCACTGTTGGGGTATCTATCCAACAATAATGATTGGGTGCCTAGTAAGTGTTTACTTGTAGACATTTAGTAATGTACATAAATGAATGAATGGTAACTGATGAAAATCATTTACATACATATATGTTACAGTTCCAGACAACTGCACAATCATCTCAGGTCTGTAATTTGGGCAGGATTCCTAGGAAGAGTCCATCTCTATTCCATACAGTGTCAACTGGTCTTTCTTGCGATTCTGGAAGCAGATAATCAGGAACCATCAAGTCTTACTCAGCATCTGGTACTTGATTGTGGCGGTCATCTGGGCCCTTGCTAAAGATGTCATCTGAAAGCTGCTTTAAGTATTCATAGCATAGTGCCTGGATTCTAAGAGCTCGGGTTCAAGTGAGCAAAGCAAGGCTCTTGGAATCTTGACTTAGCCTTGGAGGTTGCACAGCATTGTTCCTGTCGTACTCTGTTGGTTAAAGAAGATACAAAGGCAGTCTGATTTTAAACATAACACCTGTCATATAAAATAGGAGGAATCTGAAGGTCACACTGTAAGAGGAGCATGTTAGATTGGATGCATGTATTAGACATTTTTGTATAATACTATGTGTCACAATTTTATGTCTAATTTACATGTTTAAAATAAATTTGATGTTTAATTTTTAACCATACGCTAAACTTATGGTCACTATCTAACTTTAGAAAATACTTTTTTTTTCAAATATATTCACCCTGTCAATAAGATGCCATCTGACACAACAACATGGGTTATTCACATCCTATAATATTGCTTACATATAATCAATAAGTTTTTTAAGTGGGCAAGAACAATGCCTTGTGTGAACATTGCTGCATCTCTGGAAACTGAAAAATGTCTGTCATACAGAGGAGTGCTCAATTAATCAATGTTGCATAAGAATTATATTGAAATTTGATAGTGTTTTCTAGTTGTTTCAAAAATTCTTGTGTCTTTCAGATTTATAACAGCTTCGGTATTACTGATTATATAGGCCAGGATATGGGTACTTTAGGATTATTTTCAGAGGTTATGTTTATTTTCTCTGATGCAGGGATTGTGCATTAATGATTTATTCACTTATGTTCTCCAAGTTCGTTCTACCTCTTCTTACTATTCTATTTGCATTATATCATATCTTATTATATATTACATTATATTACTTATATATATATATATATTATAGTTGCTCATAACTTTAAGTTACAAGTTTCTTAAGAACCTCTTTCTTCTACCACATGATAAAGACCTTTTGTTAATTGTTGAGAGAATGCATGAGAACCTAAATGCCTAAATGGTGTTAAATCCCTTTCAACTATACTTTTCTTAAAAGAAAAAAAAATTATCCCATGAAAATGGTGAAACTCAAATTTATTAAACCCAATTACCTGAAAAAATTATTCAACTTTGGATCAGAATAAGCAAATATATTCTGATGTTTAGCTTTAGATGTTTTAACATTCTGTGTGCTTATTTAAATGTTATGCTCCTTTTTTTTGAAAGAGTAACTTTAAATATTTCTTTGTTTTTAAAGTTGTACAAAATCTTGATGAGATGTACACACACTATCTCTCCTCATCCTAAAAACGAGAAGGAGCTGGCCACACAATCTCAGAATCCAGGGTAATATGTATGGGTCTGTTATACATGTTTAAGAATGTTGCTGGATCCATGAATTCTTCAGCTTTGCATAAGTACTCAATAGTTTGTTCTGGGAGGAGGAGGTCAGGGGCAACTTGGTGCAAGTTGTCACCTGGTCCTTTCGTACCCACTTTCACGGTCTTGAAAAGGTGGAGTGCCAGTTTGTGAGTCATGGAAAGAAAATCTGTGGTGACCTCTGCTAGAGACTGTGATTGTGTGACATCCTCTAGATACAATACGGGGACTTTGATGACAGAAACATGCCACTGCATGAACAGCCTCGTGGGGATGTTATGAGACGCAACTATAATTTTCACATTTTGGATCATATATTCTTTGTCTTCCTTCTCATGGGCAACATAATCTAGAAGGATTCGGAAAAGTGTGCCGTTGGAGGTCTCAAGGATGTGCAGAAAAGTTTTTGAGTATACGAGCAATAATCCTGTAACTGCTTCTCCTAAGTGATTCTTCAGAATTGACTGGAACAGTTTCTCATAATATTCAGTAATCTCCTTTTTCTCTAGGGTGGCTTTTATGTAGCCCACAAGAAACATCCTGTGAAGGAGGAACTTCTTTAGCTGTAACCTGTGTTTCTCTTCCTGAAGGTGCAAGTAATTGGTTCGAGGGACTTTGGGCATCAGAAGAGGATCCACCTGAAAATGCTTTTTGCTGGTCCTCTGATTATGGACATTTAAAGACATGATGAATCTTATCTCTTCTTCTAGATGATTACAAGTCTCCCTGGTGATGAACTCTTGTTTTTATTATTTCTGAAAAACAGCAACAACAACAAAACAGACAAACAAACCCAGGAGTTAGCCGTTTGTCAGGTGTTAATGAACAGCAATATTCCTACTCAGTGCTACAAACACTGCTTTTGAAATGGAAGTGAGTCTGAAAACAAGACTGAAGTACAGTGATCGTTTCTGAGTTTACCACGCAACAACTGTCACGCTTTAACAAGAGCCCTCTCTCTGTAACGGTGATTACAGATTATACTTGAGGCTTTTTTAATGGTGTTTCTATGGCAAGTAATTTATCTAACATTTAAAATAAATTTAACTGGCCTGTAAAGTAAAAATAAATCAGGTGTACTCTGGCTATTATTAGTTTATTTAACATTTACTATCAATACTAAAAGTCAATAATCTTGCTTTAAAGATACCAGTAAACTTTTGAGAAAAAAAGTCAATTGTATGGTTAATCCTTTTATCAGTAAATCTCTTCCTTTTTGCTGTTTTATTAAGGTTTAAATAAAAGCAGACTTTTGCTTTGACTGAATCCGTGTCCCCGCCCCACTCCCAGACCACCTTAACTTCCTTCACATACCATGTACATGTACCTGTCTTTGAGTTCCCTGGGCTTGACCTCTGTCATGCTTCCAACTGCCAGTGCCCCAATCCCTCAACTGTCCTAGCTGGGGTTCTAAACCCATAGGTCATGAAAGGAGTTAGAATGTCTTTGGCATCAAAGAGTCAGAGTGCACACCAGTCCTAGGTCCACCTTAATGAGAGTATCCCAACAAACACCTCAACAGCACGGTGGGTTGTGGAGGAAATGAGGGCTTCCTTTTCAGAATGCCTTTTGTTCCTTTTGGTTTTGTGTGTTTGTTTTGACACACACCCTTGCCTGTCAGGCAGCTGGCAGATGTGAGTATGTCTCAGCTATGGTGGTAGAGCTAGTACCTATACTTTACTTACACACTAGTTAAAGATTGTAGGAACACATATTTGAATTTCTCTAATAATGAATCTGTTGTAAAAATGTTTTACAATACCATTTGGGATACTTAATGTGAATTTAAGTTAATTTTTAGAATTGAAAATAAAACTGCCTTTTAATATTATACTCACATGAGCTCTAAACAATAATTTTAATGTGACAAGGCTAGAAAACACTTCTATTTAATTAAAAAAATGAACCTTAGAGAACTTTTTTCTCCTGAGATTTTCATTATTCAAACTAATGATCTGATTTTAATAATTTGCAGTGATTAATTATTCCAGAAAGTGAAGGCTGGGAGGTGATTTAATAAATCTTTAATTGTGTGATACATAACAATCGACCATAATTTCTCACTCACTATGATTCACCTCATCACACACCGAATCTTCCCCAAGTGATTCACTTAGTCAGTGCCTTGTCTAGGGGCTGTTACCCTCTCTGTTCTCCTTATTGCTTTGTGAAACAGCACAGTTTTGACCACAGTCTCCAACAGCCCACTTCTCTACCCTGGTTTCTTGAAACTGGATGTCCCTAATTTTTTTTCCAAATCCCTATCTGTAACCTAGTGGAATTCTTTTGGCATCAAGCTCTGGACAATGCTGATTATCATAATTTATTACCATAAAGATATCATTATCATATACTGTTATCATAAAGACCTTACACTCTGCTTCCTTGAAGTAGCTCATTGGCCTCTGTATTCACTTTTATGAGGACATTGGAAAGGTCCTCAACGCTCCTCCTGCCTCCTGACTGAATAACTGATGCAGTACATCGATCCCTCTGAGCTCATCTATGGTTTGGGAATCTTCTCTCTCAAAAGCTTCAAGGTGGATGCAGCTAATTGACACTGACAAAGAAGAAACTGAGCCCATTCAAGTATCTCCTCTTCACACAAGATTCATTACCATTCTTTCCAGTCATTGACGTACAATTCTTCGTCCCACAGACGTTAACTTAAATCTACTCTTTCAAAATTTAGGTACCAATTTTTTATTTAGTTCTTTTCCTTTGCAAAATTGTCTAGTGCTAAATGGTCAGCCCCCTGAAAACATACATAGAAGTAACATTATACAAATCTAACAGGTTATATTTAGGAATACATATACATATATATATATTGTATATGGAATAATAATTAGTAAAAAAAGCTTAGTGAATTTGAAGATGAGCAGGGAATGTATATGGGTGGGTTTGGAGTGAGGAAAGGTAAGGGTGAAATGTTGTAATTATATTAGAATCTTAAAAAATAAAGTAACTCTAAACAATGAAAAGAAATTCCTTACTAATATCTGGACTAATATTTGTCTCTTAGATTCTAGATCAAACCCATTTGTCTTGTCTTTTTATATGTCTTAAAAGTTAGTCCTAAATTATATTCCTTACCTTCTTTTAAAAATTCATATTTTTCTAGAGGTGGTAGCTCACATCTTTAATCCCAGCATATGGAAGGCAGGGGCAGGTGAATGAGTCTCTCAGTTCAAGGCCAGCCTAGTCTACAAATCAAGTTCTAGGGCAGCCAGGGTGACATAGATAAACCCTGTCTTCAAACAAACAAACAAATAAACAAAATCCTTATTTCAAAATGCATTTGAAATTTCACTGTCTCCTTCATACTCCTCTAGATTTCTCCACCCCAAACATTAATCTCAGAGTATAAAATAAGAGCCTGTATAATAATTCATAGTTATGTTTGTATTTTATAATGATTTTACAAAGTCTTTGCTGTACTTAAATACTAGAAAAGAAAGATCTACATTGAATGGGCACAGAATCATCTATGGTATTACCAACCTCCAATGGTGAATTAGACCAGAGTGAACATAGGGACATATAGCAGAATGTCTGCTACCTAATACTAGTACTGCTCATAGTCATCAGGAACTACCAAGGACTCCTTTCTGAATCCACAAAGTCAAACAAACCTTTTATATGCAGGTGTGATTCTTTTTCATCAGGCATTCTTTGTTTAGATCACAGTTTCCTTCCAAACTTAGCCAAGGGCCTGCCTTCACAATAAGGTTAACTATGGGATCATTATCCTACTTTACATTTCTGCTGTCATTCATATATCATTTTCTGATTATAATACATCCTCAGAAAGAACAAATAAGAAGAGAAGATAATCTGCATGTGGGCTTTGAATGAGATTTTAACTCACTTTCCACATTGCCACTATCTTTTGGGGCTCCATAAATCTTGTGGTAAATAATGAAAAGTATATTTTAGTTCTTATCCCCTCTCCTGTCTCTGCTTCCCTCCTGTAAAACCTGGTTACCCCGCATCACTTTGGCTAAATTGCATCCTTAAGATTTCTGTCTCTATTAGCATCACACCTGATAGTTCCCCTGCTTCTCTGGGGAATGCAACCTCTCCATGAGACTCTATGTGCCTTTCTCATTCATACTCCTATAAGAAGGAGTTCAGTGGTGGTCTCCTTCCTCTTAAGGCATGGATTCTATCACCCTTCTCTTTCCCATATCTTTTTATTTCTAATATAAACCTAATAAAAATGGTTTTCCACCATTTAAAGATAAATGATGTAATATTTCAATTAAACTCATCATGTTTCAAAACGTACTAATCTCCGAATAAAACCTAATTGGTGTTAGATTTAAAAACACAAATTATCATTTCTTTAATTTAAAAATTATCTGACTGTGACAATTTTGTGTGGTTTAATTTAATGGATCTAAAACAAAAGTAAAACAATTTACTACCCTAGATGGTTATACGGTTTGATTCTATTTCCCCAATGTATTTTTTCTCCATTTCTCAAATGTTAGGTTTTTCACCTGAATTTTGGTACTATTGCCACATGACTATCTAAAAAGTTTAAGTCGTATATATCCTGCTTTCTTGCTTTTTTTTCAGTCATACTAAAATGGCATCAGTAAAGAGAGGAAAGAAACAACATGCAGTTTGACCAGTTTCTGATTGATTGGAATGTATAACTACAGTTGCAAACTTCTTAGTAGACACTCATTATCTGAGCTCCCAAGCACCACAATCCTTGTTGTCCATCTCAGATGGTGACTCCAGCAGAATTCTTCTCTGTATCAACCTGGCTTAAGAGGCATTTGCTTTATTTTATCCAGAGTGATAGAGTGGCTGCCCAAGTTCAACTTTTAAGCATTTATTAGTAAATAAGAACTTGTAGTGTTAATCCTTTTCAATTATTCTACGTATGTACCCTATTATTTCATACCAGCTTAGTTCTTATAATCTGCTCATAGCACATGTCAAAACGTACATCTTGTGATTTCTTATGGACTACATACTTTGGGTTAATTGTCCAGAGTTGTGTTTTTAAATAAACTCCCAATGTCCTTTGCTTGTGTAGGACACATAGGCCAGAGACAGAGAAGATTAAACATCATTTATGGCCTGCAGTAGGTACCTTTTCACATAGTCATTTAATATTCATAATAAGCCCTCTTAGCATGTTTATTATATTATAGGCCTACCTTAGGTAGGTGGACATTCTTTTCACAATTTGTAGAGGATGATGTTAAAATAGAGGATAGTTAAATAATTTACACATTATTTAAGTCTACTCTAGTCTGCTTCTTTGTCATGCTTGCATTAAAACCCCGCCTACCCCAGTAATGCTGTTTATATGGACACGGATCAGTTCCACACAGAAGTCAGTACATCCCATTATAGCAAATTCTATTGCAAAGGCATGGCAGTCTCCTAGAATTCTCTACTATCAGGTTTGGTACATCTTTTAACTAACATACCAGAGTCCTTAACAAATTGCCAACTTGGCTCAATACAGTACATTATCTGATTTGTTATTGCTTGCTGGATGGCTCCTTAAGAAGACAGAGATCCTATAGCACCTGAATAAAATAATGTAAGGGAAATATCTACATAATAATTGTGAATCAACAAAATTATCCTACTCTCGTTGGCTGGTCATTTATCCCAGATTTATTGACAGTTTGAGCACTGTGCAAGATGTAAACACATAAACTCTTCCTAATTTCAGGGAAGTAGAGTCCAGTAGGGGTTATGAAATGTTCATGAGTCTCAGATGTTCTTAGAAAGGTCAGGTATGTAGAGGACGACGTTCCCTACTTTAGGAATATTGAAATAGAAAAGATAGATGGGTTTTCCTAGTGACAGTTCTTACATTAGCATCATCTTAAGGGGAACAGGTCTGTCTTCGTCACTGTTCTTTTGCTGTGACAAGACAGTGTAACCAAGGCAACTTATAGAAGAAAAGCATTTAATTGGATTGCTTGCTAACAGTTTCAGAGGGTAAGTCCATGACCATTATGGCAGGAAAGCATGACAGCAAGCAGACATGTGTGGTGCTGGACCAGTAGATCAGAGCTTACACT